CTAGAGCTCTGACTCGTGAAGCTGACTGCACAATATGTGGAGTAATGGCCGCTGTAAACACCTCAACAATAAGTGTTGATGAAGATATAAAATAAAACATTTATTATTATTATTAGAAGCATCACAAAAACACTAACACATTATTGGTTCCCAGTAGAATCTGCCTAACGCTGTGCTCTCTCTATGTGTGTCACTGGAAGGCTCAGAGACTGGTAATGTGCCTCGAAGTCCAGCTAGAGTCTGGACCTGCAAGCTCATGTGTGTGTGTGTGTGTGTGTGTGTGTGTGTGTGTGTGTGTGTGTGTGTGTGTGTGTGTGTGTGTGTGTGTGTGTGTGTGTGTGTGTGTGTGTGTGTGTGTGTGTGTGTGTGTGTGTGTATTAATAGCGTAGCACTAATAGGCTTTCTGGATTTCCCATCACTCCTCCTGATCTGCTGCACAAATCCACTGGGCTGTCCTGGGGCGAGGCCCAGCAGCTGGCTCAATAAACTGTTTGCATTTTAAACTGAAGTGTATAACATGAGCATTGATCCGTGCTCCATCAGTCAGTACTGGTTCTGGTCATAAGTTTAAAAAAGCAATAAGTGCAATGTGAAGTGACCTTCCTCTCTCTTACACAGACACAAACCCCCAAATTGAGGTTTTTCAGCATTTGTATAAATTGGTTCCAGCTGTACAATAAATGATTGGCTTTATTAAAGATCTAGACAGAAAAATGTGTAGGATGCCAGAAGATTCAATGATATTTGTTGGTAGTAATTTAAACGTGAGGGTGTTATCAGTAAGTCAATAAAGGTATCAACTCATGTCTTTTTATCGGTGGGGTTATTACTTTTTTCTGCCATATACTGGTGAAGTAATAACGTATTTTTGTTGGGCATTCGGAAGTTAGCATCGCAAGGGCTCCTTTGAAAGTTTAAAGGTCCCATGTCATGGCCATTTCTACTGATCATATGTCCATTGTTGAGGTCTACTAGAATAGATTTATACTGTGCAATTTTCCAAACTCACATTGGTTTCTCATACAGCATCTCTGTATAGTATGTGTATTCACTCTCTGTCCTAAACGGCTTGTTGGAGCTCCTGCCCCCCCCCCTCCCTGTGAGCCCAGTGTGCTCTGATTGGTCGGGACGTTGCGAGGCTCGTTGCGAGGCTCGTTGCGAGGCTCGTTGCGAGGCTCGTTGCTGCTCGTTGCTGCGAGCCGCTGCTGCGAGCTGCTGTGAGGAGCAGACAGGTTTCCGGGTCGGCGATACAGCGAGAACAAGCGAAACTCATCCTGAGCACACACAAACACTCACAGCCGAAGTAAAAACAATAAGTGTGGCTTGATATTGAGTAAGAAAAAGGTTGATAACGCTGTGAGAATGGGTCTGCGGAGAGCATTTCTCCGCGATCCCAACTCGTCTATTACCAGCGTTCAGGGAGCTCTATGCAAGTCAATGGGGACTCCCTGTTAAGGCCCTGACACACCAGGCAGTCACCAGAGAACTCGCCGACACCGACACCGACAGTTCCATCGACGAGTTCTCCTGCGTCTTGGCCATGTGTCGCACTGGAACACACGGCAAAGACTTCAGCCGACCACGTACGAACTGCGCATGCGTGAGTGGCAATAACTCTCCTTACCAGCAGGCGGCGGTAGTGTGTATTCACCATTCCAAATAGGCAACAACCGGAAGACAGAGAAGAAGAACAGACTGATATAAACAAACAAATAGCGGCTGCCGTTCCATTTTCACTCTCGTCCATCGAAAACATGTTTTAGAATATAAAAATACATGAATGATGAAATGAGCACATAAAGTGCAGACATACTATAAAATCACAGTTAATAGACCTGCATCTGATGATCGCAGTGTTCTGGCGGGTGTGTAGTTTATTGAGTCAGCAATGTAATAATGTATGTAATGTAATAATGGCCACTTCTTGCTAAATTTACATTTCTATGTGATGCTTTTATCCGAGGCGACTCACAATAAGCAGAACAGCAGTAGACAGTATCTCATTTACTTAGACACTGTACTTAAGGACAATGTTGAGGTACTTGAGACTATCCTGCAACTTTATACTGACAAATAAACCGGACTTGACCAAAAAAATCACGGAGCTCTCAGCAGAGGACAGCCGGGGACGCTCCCGCCGATATCAGAGATGTCCCTGCTATGTGTGGGAGGTAAGAGAGGACATTTAAGGGCTATGTTTGATGTCTTTAAGTATCACCTGCTGGTGTTTAGCTGCTGTCCTGTGCCTTCTTAAATCGTTTGTTTACGTCCCTCACTTCCGTTTCGCTTCTCATTTGCTAGCTGAACAGCTGATCAGAGTGGTTTCTTGGCCCGATAGCTTGTGTCCGTATTTTGGCCGATTCAACATGTTGAAAATGAGAAATCTCCAATGAGGCGTTCTGGTGCAGCATAGACAGGTCTTTTCTGTGTTAGAGTTTTACTCGCTACAGGGTGTACTTTGAGGGTTTGTGACTCTGCAGACCGTTTACATGCATAAAAACCTACATAACACACAAGGGGACGGGTAGTAACCCGAAAAGCATGACATGGGACCTTTAAAATATTGCTGAAAATATTATCTGTGGTCAGCACATCCTTATATTATATCTTATATAAAATGAATTCCGACTTATGATTATGTTTGAACGCAAACAACAGAAGTATAAAGCTAACGATAGGCAATAAACAAACTACATCACAGTCACATGACTTTACGTCACCATCGCTAAGCTAAAGGCGGCTAATGTTCTGCATGTTGTGGTTATTTGTTTCATTCAGTCACTCGTGAGCAGCCGACACTTCAGACATTCAGCAGTGCGTTATTTACTTATGTATTTTATGTCATAAAACAAAATGTGAAAATCTCTTCAGCTTGTGTTAACCACAGACCTTATTTCAGGCATTTCACCAAATCACATGGAAAAACCATTGACTTAGAGAAGAGGGACCTAGAAGTAATAAATGCTAACTAATTTCTGGGTTTGAAGATTCATTCATTCATTCACCACTCAATTCTGTAAATATTTCCATATGTTTGGATAACCAGAAAACAACCTTGTGTCCTGTCCTACAGTCCTACAGTCACCTGGCCTGAAAACAGTCTGCTCCTACCCTAAGATTTTGACCAAATTTCCATGAAATGCTACTACATACTACTACTCTACTACCTTCAGAGGCAAATATTGTACTTTTGACTCCACTACATTTATTTTAACACTCACAGTTACTGGTTACTCAGTACATGAAAACACACAGGCTGATACTGCAGTACTGTAGTACTGATCTACAAAGTATTTTACGTATCTAAAATGCTCTTATATGTATAAAAACAGGATAGCACAATAACCATAATAATATAATATTGTGAAAAAATCCATTCTGCATAATGAGTACTTTCACTTTTGATACTGAAGTACATTTATCTGATAATACTTCTGCACTTATTTTATTCTGAAAAGGGTCATTGTACTGAATCAGTGCTTTTACTTGTTGAACTTTAAGTATATTGTGATGCTAATACTTTGGTACCTTCACTTAAGTGTTGAAATCAGGACTTAAATCAGGACTTTTAATCATAACATTACAGAGGTCAGGTAGTCAAGATGATAAAAAGATGGACATGTTCCATTTGTAACATTTTAAATAAAGGCTTTCTCTGTGCAGCTCTTCTGTATCAAACTCAGCTGTGCTGCTGATCAGAAATGAGCAGTCAGCACAGTGATGATCACATGAAGCAGATACATCTCTCAGGCTTCATGTTTGACTTAGTGGGATTTCAAGGTGGGCTCAAAGAGCAAAACAGATATTAAAAAGGAAATTATGACCTATTTCACTTTCTAACAAAAACAGTAGGAAAACCAAAATAAAGGAGTGTAAGTTGATGTAAATGGGATTTATTTATTTGTAGAAAATGAGGTATAGAGAATCAAATTAAACCCTTAAACAGCAATGTCCTCTGTAGCTGCTTTCTCTGTTCCTGGGTGGGAGTGTGTAAAGATTTATTTTCAGATAAGAGCGGAAGAACAGCTGGAAAACATTTTGTAGAATCCCTCACCTGAGCAACATTCCAAATACTACTGTACAGGACAGTACAGTACAGTACTCGCACAGCACCATCAATCAATTATATTCTTTTATAATAATATAGGCCTTTTAAATAATTATTGGATTATTTTTTTATTTATAAATGTTTTGCTTACCAGTTTTTAAATTCATGTTGTTTTATTTTCTCTTTCAAGTCTAACATAAAATCCATGAAATGTTCCAGGCTGTCCAGATGCAGATATTTGCTGTCACTGACTGATTTTCTTTTAATCAATGTACTAAAATCTGAAGGTTTAAACACTGACTGAGGGCGATCTCTCATAATTCACATTTAGTGAATGTTCCGAGCCTACAAACGGTGTTCTAAAGACCCTCACACACCATCATCGCTTAAAAAATGTAAGAATAATCGTTCCTTTTATATTGTGAATTATAGCACAATTGCAATATCAGTCAAAAAATAAATAAAATGAAAGTTTTCTCTCCATGCCCTTCTGAATGAATGCATACCATTTACTGTATATTATTTATGTGAAAAGTGTAACTAAAGTGCTATAAAATGTGCATTATCAAACAGGTTTTAAAAGATTATGACTAAATTGTAGGACCCAGACTGTCAAAATGACAAAGATGGACACCTTTTGGACTGTGTTAGTCAGAGGTAGGGAGGGGCACCTCCACTCTTCTGCTGTCACAGAGGAACAATCATACCTGTGCTCCCTTTTAACAAAAAAACTGCCCTGGGCATTTTAAGGCCAATATCATGGCTTTTAGTTGTTCAGACAAACTATTTAAAGAGCTCTATGAGCTCAGGACAGGCTGGATTATCACAGGTAAAGTTCACACTGTCAGCTGCAGGAAGTGGAACACTCTTGACTTCAGTGATTGATTGACATTTAGCGCAGTGATGATAAACCACAATTTCCCCCCTGACAGCTGGGTGTTACAACACATACCTTAAAGACCTCAGAGAAGAAGCCTGATCCGATCTTCTCACAGAAGAAGTCGTCGATGCGGGCCAGACTGGACACGGCGCTCCGCAGGGCTCGGTACGATGACGGCCTGATGCGGTTTTGAGCGTGGATACTGTGGAGGGGGGGCTCATCCGGGCTGCCATAGCCCTCCTCGGGGTCACAGAAGCAGCACTCAGCATGGTAGTCCATGATGCTGGAGGACCACCACCCTCTCTACAGGTGCTCTGTTCCCACAGATGAACCAACGTTTTTTTTAGATAGCAGTAGTCCTGAGACACGAGGGGAAGGGGGGTCCCACCATCATGATGTCACAATGATCAAGGCTGTGATGTGATAACCTGATAAGATATATTTCACACAATACTGCGCCTTATTACACAAATATAGAACACATATTATCTATATTTGTTCTTTTGAGATCCACAGATTCCATTCTCATTCAACTCATGTGAGGTAAAGAGTTCAGTCATCAGGATTCAAAGCCCCCCCTCCAGGGCTTCTGTGTGGCTCACTGTGCCCGCCCAGGAACGACAGAGAAAGTCTCACCGATGAAGTCTCTTCATTACTCCTCGTCACCGAGGTTTTAGAAACTCCTGCAGCCCTTGAACCTGGCCTCAGCGTGCCGGTGCGTGGGGGGCTGGGTCCCTCCAGCATCCCCTTACATGGAGGAGAGATGACGGAAGCGGCACGGTACCAGGAGAGGGAGGGCTAGTAGGGCCAAGCTGCAATAATGCACAGGTCCCTGTGGAAGAATTGTGAGAATATAAGATGACACAATAAACTGTAGCCAACCTGCCGTTATAACACAGGACTGGACATATAGCACAGACTGAGAGTGTCGGGGCTGGTCCTCTCAGAGCGGCAGCCATCAGGCTAGCAGAGAGTCCCACTAACGCTAACAGGGCGATGAGCAAAAACCTCCACTGGATAACAACAACAACAACAACACAACTGTTAGACTTTAGAATTGCATACCTGATTTAAATCTGTTTTTATCTATTTTTCTTTTCTTCACAACTGCCTAAATTCTATTTTTTTCTAGGCTTAATAACCCATATTGCTCCTGCCTGGCCAATGAGGAATCCTAGCTAACGTTACTGTTGATAACGAGAGCTGTCAATGACAGCCGGGCTGCAGAGCCCGATCCACGGCTTACCTCTCTGCACACTTCCCGCTGGAAGACAATGTCGATGTCGTCCGGCCGTTTGTTGAAGGCGAATTAAGGGCAGAAATGCCAGTCGGCAGCTGCTATAATCCGGTCTGGAGTCCTACTTCACAGCCACTTGAGGGGGGACGACAACCATCATGAGACAGCGCCGACATGGTCAAGCTAGCGAGATTCAGGGGACTTCCTGCGACTTCACAATAAAAGCTTTTATGGACATCATGCAGTACACTTTATCATCTACCAAGCACAAACTTGACTTCCGATAAAATATGAATGCACATTACAAAAACATATAGGAGCATTACATTGTGTTGTTATATAAACAACGCCGACAACATTACAACATTACTCTGTTGAGTTTGAAGAAGTTGGAGTTTTTAAATAACTGGAGCTTCTCCAGTAAGTTTCAAATGATTGAACAGAGGGATGCTCAAATAAATACACCAGGAATGATGAGCTGTAACTCTGCCCCATCAAGATTGTTTTTGGCTAATGAGCATTTTCTTTGGTTAAAGTTCAGGAGATCATGCATTTTCAATAACACTTTTTATTAATATTGAGTATCCATGTACTTTCGGTGAACCAGGAGAAACATTTTGGGTGGATTGGATGGTAATATGTTCTTCTTTCCGTAAACAATGTTGAACATCCACTCATAATATTTTATTCTTCTACTTTAATTTCAGAATTACAAAACAATTAGGCCTATATGATTTGAAGGTAAAGACAAGGAAAAATATATAATTGTTTTGCACCAATTGTATTATTTGGATAGTTCCACACAGGGCCGTATCCAGGATTTCATAAATACCGAGGTCCAAACATGATAAGGGAGTTCGGGGGTATACGCCCCCTGAGATTTTTGGGATTTTCATGATCTAGTTAGGTGCTTTTTAAGTCCTGTGGGGGGTCACAAATTGGATAATATATTGATTTCAAACCATGTCAGTGGGCTGCAGCATCAATTATTTTTGAAAGTGTAATGCATAAGAATCAGTTGATTGTTACTATGAATGATCTGGACATGCAGAAGAGGCTAAAATGATCCCAAAACATTGTCAACATTCATTTTTCATGTCTCTCTCCTTTCCATAACCTGCAGCCTCTCTTCCATCTTCTTTAGTCTCTCTGTCTTCTTCCTGTTCATTACTCTCTCTGTCCTCTACTCTTTCTCTTTGTTCAATCTCTCCCTCGTTGTTCACTTGTTGCTCCTCCTCACTTGTCGCTCCTGCCAGTGAATTAAAAGCAATTCAGCAATTTAGTTCATTTCACTTGTTTGTTTGCATTATTTTTTTTTATTTAAATCTGTTTTGTTTGATTCTCAAAAGAGAACAAAGATGTAAGCAAATTGTGTGGTTTCATACAATTGTATGTTATTATGACATCATAACTGCAATAGATATATGTTGTTTTAAAAGTATGCCTATTGTCTATAGTGTAAATGAAGACTATTGTTATAGATAGATATATAGATAGATGGGGTTATTAAGCCTACATTCTTTTGTGTGACTGTACCTGCAGTTCCTCCCTGACTTCCATCACTTTCTCTCTCTCTCTGCCTGTCCTGTCTCTTCCTTACCAAAGCTGAGCTTCGACTGACGTAGTCTTTTCATTATATCTGAGTCAGTGTAAAAAGAAAACAATACAATGTTATATCTTCAATGTTTTACTCAAATTGAAATGAAAGAAAAGCATTACAACGTTTGTTAAAAGGTAATCCTTCTGACATTGGATGAATGAAATTAACTTTAGCTCTCTAGCTAGTTTATTCACGCAATTTAAACCAAAGTATAGCCTATAGCTGCAATATAAGTTAGTGTGCATGTTGTCGGACGTCCACTGACTAACGTAGAGCGTTCACACAGGATCTGCTAGTCATATGATGTCCTGTGAGGAACAGAAACACAAGCAGCCCGCTGGACTCTGATCTCGAGATACCTCATCACTCCTCTGCTGCTCCGATACAAGTTCGGGCTGCGGTGGTTTGTTGATACATGTCGTCTTCTTCTGTTTGCTTTAATCGAGGCTACGTAGTTATGCAGCGCCCCCATCGGCAGTAAATGGAAGTACTACTACAAAGAACCCCGTTTAGTGCAGTTATTTCACACGTTTTGTTATATACACAGCTCGGAAATTATTACCGAGGTCCGGACCTCGGTGACCTCAATGGTGGATACGGCCCTGGTTCCACATTAACAAGGAAATATGTATTTTTTATTCCCTTTTTTCCCTTTCTAAATAAAGAACTGCATCAATAAGAAGCCATAGCAATAAGAAGTTGTTTGGTAACGTTCTCACAAATTATGTTGAACATGATTTAGTTTCTAGAATAGATTTTTATTTTTTATATTGTTCTTTTAAAAAATGTGTAGGCTTCTACTCTTTGAAAGCATTCATCACCATAGCAACATAACTCCGTGTGTGTTTTCCTTCAGTCGGACTGTTAGTTGTACCTCTTGAAACCAGAAGGTGTCGTCCTTTCCCATCGATTGTCTGCTTGAAAAAAAGCTAGTTTTATTTTGCTGGCTAAACAGCTTTAACTATATTTATTTCTGTATACTAAAAGTATACAGAAATAAATCTTGACATTGTTGCTGAGCAGTATATTACTTAACGCTAAATCTTGACAATATATTTGTATATCTAGTCAGAATATGTCTTTACACTTGATATAAGACATACTAACAACCCTCCTGTTACATTCAGGGTCAATTGACCCATTTTATATTTGAAGTATTTTTTTGTATGAAACTTCTTCTACTTGTCTTAATTAGTGCTATAAACAAGTAAAATGAAAATAGTTCATGGCATGTATGTATGTTTATATTACAGAGATTGTATTCAGGTCAATTTGACCATGCAGTGTAAGTGAAGGCTAAAAGGGATCAGAAGTGCAAATGGGATATAGGCTACTATATATATATATTGTAATACACACAGACAGAGAGAGAGAGAGACACACACACACACACACACACACACACACACACACACACACACACACACACACACACACACAGAAAGAGACAGACAGACAGACAGACAGACACACACACACACACACACACACACACACACACACACAGACAAACACACACACACACAGAGACAGATAGACACACACACATAGACAAGTTACACACACACATAGACAAGTTACACACACAGACAGAGACACACACACACACACACACACACACACACACACACACACAAAGACAGACAGACAGACACACACACACACTCACAGATAGACACACACACATAGACAAGTTACACACAAAGACAGACAGACACACACACACACACACAAACAGACAGACATACAAACACACACACAATTGCTGTTACAATAAAACACTTTCAATACAAATCCTTATGACTCATTTGGCTTGATTCTAAGTGAACGGGTCAATTTGACCCTGAACAGAAGAGGTGTCTCGTCTCTATTTATCAACATCAACCGATTGGACATTTAAAAGTAATTTTAAAATGTTATGTTATGCAAAACTAATGTATTTTATATCAAGGTTTTTCCAATGTAAAAAAAAAATAGAAAAACGTGTTTGAATGTATATGTTTTGTGAAAAACAAGTGACGTATTCTAATGGAACCATGATCTGTGAGAGGTGAATAACACAATTGCACTAAATATTGATTTCATTGATAGAAATAAAAAAAAATAAAAAGGGTTTCTGACCCAGGAATATTATTGCTGTTACAAAACGAATATAACAGGAGGGTTAAGAAGTAAGAATGCAGTAAGATTTAGGGTCTTGTTTTTAGAAAATGTATCTTCAGTATCTTGTTAAGTCAAAGACTCTTGAAAACATCTTATTTTCAGTTGTAGGCCCTACCTCAGATGAAACGTTTTTTTTACATTTTATTGGAAATTCACCAACTGACATCAGAAAACCAAAAACTTTGGAGAATTTTTCATTCCTGATCTTGGTCAAATATAGCTCAAAATAGGTTTCCCCAGCTAAATATACCATTTTATTTCAATAAATCTTAGCAAGCAAATGTTCAGCTGTTCTATTGGCAGATTTCTTTACACACCTTGTTTTCATTCTTTTTTTACCAGTTTTTTCGCAGCATTTTTTCCAGTGACAGCATTTCATTTTACATTCTATCTTTAGCTAAACTATTAGTTACAAAAATACAACAAACAACAAAATATTCATTTTAAAGTCACTTTGCACTTAAAAAAGGTATTGTGAAGATACACGAGAACCGCCTCCATAGGGACGGTCTATTTTTCAATTTTCCTTTGGAATAAGCAGAATGATGTAATGTGCCTCTTACTCATTCTCTAATTTGAATATGGCTGTCTGTGGACACTGTACAAGTAAACATGATTAAACAGCACTATCCCTTGGAGAGTTTCCATCATTGTATTTACTAACAATATATTTACATTTCATTTTGAGTCAACCACTGTTATCTGATCATCATGTATTATTATGTTCATTAGCATTTTTCATATACAGTATCTGTGACCATGACAACAAAGAATGACTTAATGATTCATTCTGTGTTGTGTTTGACAGAATTTGTGCAAATACAAGGGAATTAAACCAGACGCAGAACTCTGAGAGCTCTTTTAAAACCCTTTCTCTGTGTTGGAGTTCTAATATCTCAATATACTGTCTCACAGGCATCATTTTGGGCGTGGTTCTGAAGATATTTGTCCCCATGTCAAACATCACCATCGACTACATCGGATTCCCTGGAGACATTTTCATGCGGGTTCTTGAGATGGTCACCATTCCTCTAATGGTGACAAGTGTCATAACAGGTGCGTCATTCTGGATCTGTCATGTAATAATAACAATATATATAGCCAGACTAACTATTTGACTGTTGCTCTACTTTTCATGACACTTCAGCAGTGCATACATCAACTAATAAAACAAATATTATATATGAGTATAGGTTAAGATGGTAAAATATAAAGTAATTAAAAGTAACTCTACTTTTACCATGTGATGAACACATTAATGCAGCAATAATTATATTCCACTCATTTATTATATAGGATACACATAAGTATTTTTACTTTTGGTATTTTAGTATATTTGAATGCCAATACTTTTATACTTAAGACTTTAAATGCAGGAGTTTTACTTGTAACAGAGTGCTTTAACACTGTTGTATTTCTACTTTTACTCAAGTAAAATATCTGAGGATGATGAGTGATGTGAACAGTCAGAAATAATTGTACTAATGCTGATGTTTTAATTTTTAAAAGGAGTCTGTAGTATGACTGCTGGCTCCTCCAGAAAAATCTCCATCCGAGCAGCAGTATACTTCATCTCAACTACGCTGGCGGCTGTGACGATAGGTAAGGGAAATACAAAACTTAGAATATAAACTCATTTAGTTTCGGCACACCTCACACATCAGAGCAGCCAACAATGAAAAAACTGAAACATTGACTTTAAAGGTCCCATGTCATGGCCATTTCTACTGATCATAATTCCATTGTTGAGGTCTACTAGAATAGATTTACATTGTTCAATGTTCCAAACTCACATTGGTTTCTCATACAGCATCTCTGTATAGTATGTGTATTCACTCTCTGTCCTACACGGCTTGTTGGAGCTCCTGCCCCCCCTCCCTGTGAGCCCAGTGTGCTCTGATTGGTCAGCTCGCCCACTCTGTTCTGATGAGTTCACCACCGTTACAGCGGAACATCAGTGATTGTGTGTTACAATGGCGTTAGCAACCAGAAAATGACACCAGCAATGACAAACAGATGAGAATGCTGCGTGGGGTCTGGGTGCCGTGTTGGCGGGACGTTGCGGGGCTCGCTGCTCCGCCCTGTGGGGCTCGAGGAGCGGACAGTGTGAGCTGGATTACTGGTGTCGTTTCCTGGTTGCTGCGTGGGGTCTGCGAGACAGCGAGACACCGCGAAACTCAGCCTGAGCACACACACACACTCACAGAAATCCGCGGAGCCGCGGCTGAGAAAAGATAAGGCTGAGTGAGTGTGTGTGTGTGAGGAGTTCCACGGATTGGTCCATTTGGACCTATGGTTACGTCACCATACTCAGGAAGAAAAAAATGGAAAAAGAGAAATCCCCAACGAGGCGTTCTGGGGCAGCATAGACAGGTATTTTCTGTGTTAGAGTTTTACTCGCTACAGGGTGTACTTTGAGGGTTTGTGACTTTGCAGACCGTTTACATGCATAAAAAGCTACATAACACACAAGGGGACAGGTAATAACCGGAAAAGCATGACATGGGACCTTTAATCAAATGTATTATGTCAACAAATTACACAAAATGGTATTAGGTAAGTTAAAAGCAATAACATTAAGTTTAAATAAAAATATGTCAATCTAATATTTTTGCAAACTAATCTAATACAATAATAATCTTTTGACATTAATTAAAGTCAACGTTTCAGTTTTCTCAGTGAAGGTAAAAGTAAATCCTACCCTGATAAATGTTATGATGTTCAGTTTGTGTTAAAACTCATTTATATTGTGAAATAATATTATTTTGGGTATTATTTTTGGTTGCTGGATGGACAAACTGAAAGAAATTAGAGATGCTATGATTGGTCGACTCATATCTTTGTGTTTGGGATTGAAAAAACAAGTCATCAAAGGCATCATGTTTGAGAATCTAGGGCAGTCATTTTACACAATTTTCTGGGTCATTTAATCAAAAATTAAAACCATCATTATTTGCAGGCCAAATTGACAAATTGAAACAGCAACTGCTTTCTGAGACAGATTCAGCCGAAACAGAAGTCCGAAGTTATTGAAGGTATGCAGGATTTACTGCAACGCTGTGAAATGACACTGCAATGGCTTTAGCAAACAAATTGTAGTTAGGTTATTTTCACTGTACGATTGAAACAGTTCAAAGTGTTTATCAGCACTCTCTGTCGGGGGGACATCGCAAGTCAGTTTGGTAAATACTGTAATCTTGATATTGTATAGTGCTGTATTCAGTCTGTATGGACCAATCAAAGGTAGACGTGTTCAGTCCTGGATGGTGTGTTGCAGGATTAATTCTGGTGCTGTTGGTGAAGCCTGGGGTCGGTCAGAATGACCCGATGCGTGGGCTGGATGAAGATGATGATGGAGCCTTATCCACACTCGAGGCCTTGATGGATCTTGTCAGGTGCCAAGAAATGTTTTCTTTACATATATTTTCTAGGGCTGTCAGTCGATTAAAATATTTAATCGCGATTAATCGCAAATTAATCGCACATTTTTTATCTGTTCTAAATGTACCTTAGAGGGATATCTTTCAAGTTTTTAATACTCTTATCAACATATGAGTGGACAAATATGCTTTATATGTTTGTTTATTATCATTTGAACAATGACAAATATTCTCATGAATATTAAACACAACAACCTCTGAACATTACAAATATTCGCTTCAATTCAACCTGGAACCTCTCTCATACAATAATTGTGTGTGTGTGTGTGTGTGTGTGTGTGTGTGTGTGTGTGTGTGTGTGTGTGTGTGTGTGTGTGTGTGTGTGTGTGTGTGTGTGTGTGTGTAGACACTGTGATGGATCGTTGGAGCTATGTGCAGCTCAAGGCATATATGCTCCAACGGGAGCTGCCTGGATGCTGCAATCATGTTGCGCGCACTATCCGTGCTGAGTGTGCTGACTTTTCGTACAATGTCCCACTGTCTGGCTACCTGCATAAAGTCAAGTGCTCGGCGCAGTTGTCGGCGAAATGTCATTGAAACAGCTCCTTATATCCGTTAGCGCAGCTAGCTAGCACCAGATGCTAACAACAACAACACGTAAGGTGTGCCTCGCTTGCGCGAGTCGCACCACACATACACACTCCCTCCCGGTCCTCCCGATGGCCAGTCCGGGCCTGCCAGTGAGCGTGGAAGTGTGGTCTGCCACAAGCGGGCGGTAGGAGCGGGGCTGTCAGCATCAGCTTGTCGATGGTATTTTAAACGCCATGCGCTCTGAAACTACGGCGGCCGAGGACAAAAAATACACATGCGTTAATCGCGTTAAAATAATTAGTGGCGTTAATTTTTTTTTGCGTTAACGCGTTATTAACGCGTTAACTTGACAGCCCTAATATTTTCACATTTATAATCATTTAAAAGCAGACCATTATTTTATTTTATTTATAACCATCATGGCCCCTGATAGACCACCACACATTTAAAGGGCCCATGTCATGGCCATTTCCACTGATCATAATTCCATTGTTGAGGTATACTCAAATAGATTTATACTGTGTAATTTTCCAAACTCACATTGGTTTCTCATACAGCATCTCTGTAAAGTATGTGTATTCAGCAGTATTCACTCTCTCCACTAAACGGCTCGTTGGAGCTCTTGCCCCCCCCTCCCTGTGAGCCTAGTGTGCTCCGATTGGTCAGCTCGGCCACTCTGTTCTGATTAGTCAACCACCAGAGAGGCTCCGCCCATGTCTAACTGCTTTTTTCGGCTCGCTCTCAGCGGAACAACAGTCTTATAATGGCCTCGGTACAGCCGTATATTTTATACGCTAACTAACCGAACTGTACCTACAACTGTTGTTATAGAAGAGTAAGTTATTTTTACCTGTAATAAACTACTACTGTTTGATGAGAAATCAAATCATGGTTTGCTATATATGAATGATATGTTATAGGAGCAAATAATTCAGGGAAGAAAGGATAGGCCTACTAAGTATTTCCATCAAACTTTATTTTTAGAAATGTACAAAATGAACATGCGTAAATATACATATATACACTGTATATCATCCATTCCTCCCCTTATAGGTGTTTTTGGCATCTTGCCTATCGCAGCTTTGTAAGCGGCTGCCGGGGCTTTTTAGGACGAGGCATCAGAGTGGGTCATCCCGTGTGTGTGTTGTCCGCCAGATACGCCAGGAGTTTCCTGATCTGGCTGGACGAAATCAAATGCAAATCACAAAATATTAGAGAAACTTAGTTGTTTTAGATTTGTTAGTAGTAGTTGTGGTAGGAGTGTGTCTCTGAATCTGTCTATCTAATCAACACAGTTTGTTTTCCCGAGCAAACTAATGTCTAGCTCCGTTTTTTAGCTCGGTAGCATACACGCTAGGAACGCCAGCTATAATGTAATTACGTTTCGCGACTGACCGTACGGTAAATCACCCGGAGTATACTGTCTATGAGTATTTCGTGTGTGAATGCAGACATTCTCCTGCTATGAGATACATGTATGTAAGGCCATCTGCTGATATTAGAGTTGATATATGGAAACGCTAGCAACTTAGTTAGCCCAGTTAGCACTGTGTCAATGGCTTAGCAGTCCGACACACGTTTACACATTTAAACAGTCGTGGTAGATACCTTGTTTGGGAGACATTCCTAACGAAATGAAGTGCCAATCACAAAATATTATTGAAACTTAGTTGTTTGATGTTCGTCAGCTTGCCACCTGGATTACAATGCTAATCTACGTTTGCTAGTTGTTCAGTGTAATATGCTATACTATACTATGAACAGCAGATAGTGGTTCATATTAGGCTATCAAGAACATGTTTACAATTGCAATCTTATATGGGCATTCTGCTACATTCATTGTAGCTGGCATAAAAACAATGTTTTCCCGAGCAAACTCATGTCTAGCTCTTAGTAGCCTTGTTGTTTAGCTCGGTAGCATACACGCTAGGAACGGCAGTTATAATGTAATTACGTTTCGCGACTGACCGTACGGTAAATCACCCGGAGTATACTGTCTATGAGTATTTCGTGTGTGAATGCAGACATTCTCCTGCTATGAGATACATGTATGTAAGGCCATCTGCTGATATTAGAGTTGATATGGAAACGCTAGCAACTTAGTTAGCCCAGTTAGCACTGTGTCAATGGCTTAGCAGTCCGAAACACGTTTACACATTTAAACAGTCGTGGTAGATACCTTGTTTGATAAATACACAAATAACAATGCAAACTTACACGTTGTGTACCCGAATCTTCCCCTGCTCCAAACGGTCCAAACAAACAAGGAATAGCATCGTCCTTCAGTTTCAAATGCTGTGCATATCCGGCCTCAAACTGGGCAATGTTTTAGAAGCTTTCCTCTGTGAAATGCCGCGCACACAGTAACGTTCTTCGAACCTCTGAAGGAACAGTGTTAAACAGAAATTTCAACCACTGACTTCGTCGTGGTTCTTCCGTCGGTAGGACAAACAGCTCAGATTTCTCCTCACATTTCAGGAAACAGGTCCTTGGCATTGGCATGACTGGATCGATTGTGAACTGAACCAGAGCTTCCAACAGTAAATGTTAGGCTGGCAGAGGGTGCGGCCAGCGCCGCTGGGTGTGGCCATAGCTCTTCCGGATTGATCCATTTTGTTCCGGGTACCGCATGACATCATGCCGTACCCGGAACTAAATGGAAGACTCAAGTGGGCAGTGACGTATCTCCAACGAGGCGTTTTGGGGAGGTATTTTCTGTGTTAGAGTTTTACTCGCTACAGGGTGTACTTTGAGGGTTTTGACTCTGCACACCGTTTACATGCAGAAAAACCTTCATAACACACAAGGGGACGGGTAATAACCGGAAAAGCATGACATGGGCCCTTTAACAACAAATAATATAAAACTAAAATGTTGTGCAAAATTACTTATGACTACAAAATTGGTTTTATATTCTATGTTGTTAAATATATATTATATATATTTACAATTACTATATATGACTATATATTTATAATATTTTATGCATGCCTCTTAATTAATATTTGCTATTTTTGGCTCTTTACTTTAGCTGTAACAATATAAATGTTTCCCTCTGTGGGACCAAAGGTATTCTGATTACTCACCAGTTTGCTAAGGTGCATTTGTGTGTGTTCTTTTCTTTATAGGAACATGGTGCCCATAAATCTGGTTCAGGCCACCTTTCTTCAGGTATGGCTTATAACTCAGACTTTGGATGTACGGCCCATGAAGGAGACAGAATAATATTCCAATGTGTTATTATCTTTAGTACAAGACTCGGAAGGTGAGGTTTGAAGTTGCTGAAATTGACGAAGAAACTGGCCTGGAAACGGTAAACACTTTTCACATTGTCTAATTTTATTTAGAAGTTTCCATTCACATGGATAATTGCTAACACATGAAGTTGGATGCCTTTTCTTACTGAGTTTCTGATCTTCTTTCAGATAAGGACAGAAGTGCGTCTGATTGGTGAAAATATCGAGGGACTCAACACTTTGGGCCTGATCGTCTTGTCTGGTATTTTTGGAGTGGCCCTCCGGAGCCAGGGAGAAAGTGCCAAACATGCTGTGGACTTGTTCATTGCCGTCAAGAAGTCCCTCAAACATCTGGTTGTATTGGCAATAAGGTACAACATATAGGAAGAAAACCTCTGCATAATAGAATAGAATCGGAGGATGAAACGTAGGGTTACGTATGGTAACCCATGTTATATAAGCACAGCGGAGCCCTCTACTGGACTCTATGGGTACTCCCCTCAATCCTATCTATGCACGCATTCTTTCACTGAGACTCATACCCGTAGCCGGCCCCCTGGGCGGGCCTACCTGAATGCGCGCGCATCCACTGCATAAGAGGCGGCCCCGCCCGCTCACTGCTATCCCTTTACTTTCTCTTTTAGCTGAGCAGCATAGGCAGCAGGGCTCCATAAGTAGAGGGCTCCGCTGTGCTTATATAACATGGGTTACCATACGTAACCCTACGTTATATCTCTCACAGGCTCCGCCCTCTACTGGACTCTATGGGTACAGGGGGCGGAGCCCGACGTATACCCGCTCTGCTGTCCCGCGAGAGTACTGCTCCATCCCCCTGTTTCAGACCGGCTTTCTGTTTAGCAGCCGCTGCGCCTCCCTCACCTCTCCCTCGGCCAACGCCAAGGAGAGAAGAAAAAGAGGCTGCGACGGGCCGGGCACACCCTGACGCACTTACCCCGCGGAGGTGTGCCATAAAGTAGAGAATCTCCTCCTCCTGTCTTAATGCAGGGAAAAGGAAAACCTCCAGCCCCTCTGGGCCCATCTGCGCGTTACGTCCCCCGGAGCCGGGGGCCCGGGAAACACAAGCACATTACGTCCGGGGAGGGGGTCAGATGCCCACTGACCCACAGCCCCCCTCTCTCTCCTCACCAGTCCTGCGTTGCTCCAGCAAGCACAGACGATGAAAAGGAGCCAGACATGTCCAAGAGATAAAACTTAATGAAGGGACCTGGTGTTGACCAAGACGCCGCCGTGAATATGTCCTCCACACTTACGCCATTAAATAAGGCTGTTGATACAGCCACGGCTCGTGTAGAGTGTGCACGGACTCCCGTGGGGAAGGTCTTCCCCGCCTGTCCGTAGGCATGTGAAATGCATTCACAAAACCAGCCTGCCAGGCGTTTCTTGGACAAAGCTTTTCCAGTTACCCCACCGCCGAAACACACAAACAGCTGTTCTGTTAGTCTAAGGGCAGCCGTGTGCTCCACATAACATGCCAGCACACGCACCGGGCAGAGGAGGTGCAATTAAGCCTCCCTCGCCCCACTATGGGGGGGAGATTAAAAACCCCCAACTGAATAGCCCTCGACCTGAACGTACTCCTTAGGCTCTTAGGCACAAAGGAGGGGTTCGGTCTGAGTGTCGCACCGCTTCGGTCACCCCGGATGTTTAAACAACTCGGGTGCACTGATAAAGCAGTTAACTCAGACACTCTTTTGGCTGACGTTAAGGCAAGTAGCAATGCTGTCTTCCATGACAGTGCTTTCAGGGAACAGAGCTCCAGAGGCTCAAATGGTCCTGTGACCAGAGCCTCGAGCACTAGCGGCAAGTCCCACTGCGGGGCAGAGGCGCGCACCACTGGGCGCAGCCTGCTGACCCCTCGCAAAAACCGCGACATCAGCGGCTGGGCAAAAACTGACTTGTCGCCAAATCCCTCATGGCAGGACGAGATGGCTGCTGCATACACCTGTGGAATGAGCAAGCCAGCTGTCCACCAACAACTGTAAGTACGACAAAATAGACCCCAATTTACAAGATAGGTGCTCTATTTTTCGCTCCTCACACCATCGCAGGAATCCCAGCCACTTCGGCCTGTAACAGGCTGTGGTGGATCCCGCTCTAGCTGCCTGGATAGACTGAATCACACTATCAGACAATTCCTCCCGTCTCAGCCTCTACCCCTCAGGAGCCAAGCCTGGAGGGGGTGGCCTAGCGTGGGTAACGCCCCGATTGCACCTGCCTCCTGGGAGATTACCCCCCAAACTTGGGGAAGCGCCCAAGGCTGGCCCACCTTCATCTGTGTCATCTCCGTGTACCACAGCGCCCCTACGCGATTCGGTGCTACTAGGATGATTGACAGACGCTCCCGCCTCACTCTCCCCAAGAGAGGGAGGATGAGACGTAACGGTGGAAAGGCATTCATTTCATTTCATTTCAAACCTTTATTTAACCAGATTGGTCCCATTGAGATCATGGATCTCTTTTTCAAGGGAGACCTGCAGCATATAGGTTCCACATGAAACATAAAACAATAAAGGACATCATACATTATATTTACAGGATACATTTACATAGTTATAGACATTTACAAGTACCCATAGTATCAACGAGCATTTCATTTAGCCTAGCTTTAACAACATGCAGAGGAATGAGATTGCTCAGTTTCAATTATTGCTGAAGATTGTTCCAAGCAAGTGGAGCTGCGCACATAAAAGCTGTCTTACCTAAGACAGTCCTTGCTCTTGGCACATCTAACAATACTACATCATGCGATCTCAGACAATAGCTGCTTGCAACTCTCTGTGTTATCAGAGAGCAGATATAATACGGGAGTTTACCCAGGCATGAAGCAGCTTCTTTGGCCATGGCTCGTGTGCAAATGCGTCCACCCCCAAAGGAGGGTCGTCGCTCCGAGCCATGGAGAACCACAGTGCGCAGTGGGTGTTGCGCCGGCTGGCGAACAGATCCACCTCTGCTGTCCCGAACCGGGCTCAGATCTGCTTCACCACCTCTGGGTGAAGCGTCCACTCGTCTGGCAGGGGTCCGCCCCTCGACATGAGGTCGGCCCCCCTGTTCTCCAGACCCGAAATGTGGAGGGCTCTCAGAGATAACATTACCTCCGCAGCCCATAACCACAATTTCTCCTCCATGGTCAACAGAGCGGCGGAGCGGAGCGCCCTGCCTGTTGATATATGCCACTGTGGTGCTGTTGTCGCTCCTGATCATTACATGTTTCCCCTGAATTAAGGGTTTGAAATGTTGGAGGACTAATATCACTGCCTGCAGCTCTAGGAGGTTGATGTGCCGCGTCTCTGCCAGAGACCAGCAACCTCCTACAGCTTCCCCTAGGCAGGTTCCTCCCCATCCCGTTCCGGATGCACCCGTGAACACTGAGATGTGGGAGATCCCAGTCCCAGCGGGGACCCCCTCCGGAGATGATCCGGGGACCCCCAAAACCGGAGGTTGCCCCTCACCGAGGGGGGAATGGTCAACAGCCGCCGTTTGTGTTTCTTGAGATCTAAACACAGGCTGGAGAACCACCTCTGCAGGCGGCGCATATGCAGTAACCCCAGCGGGACCACAACGTGAGCCGCTGCCATGAGACCCAGGGTCTGCATAACAGTTAAAGCCGTCACTGTTGCCCCCTGTCGCAGCCTGCGAACTGCCTGTAGCAAGGATGCCTGTCTGCTCTCTGACAGGGTGGCGTCTAGCCTGCCTGCATCGAGCACCACTCCCAAATACAATACCTGTTGTTGAGGCATGGGGGCGCTCTTCTTCCAATTGACCGCAAATCCTAACTCGGTTAGATGTAGCATCAATTGAGCCGTATGACACATTGCCCATTCCCTGGAGCTGGCCATAACTATGAGGTCGTCTAGGTAAAAGAATACTCTCATGCCACCTCCACGCACTTGCTGAACGTGCGCGGGGACAGGGAGTAGCCGAACGGCAGCCTGTTGTACTCATAGGCCACCCCCTGGAAGGCAAAAACGTAAATACTTTCTGTGTTTCGGAGCAATTCCGACAAGAAAGTAGGCGTCCTTCAGGTCGATGGTTGTAAACCAATCGCCTGGCTGCACCAGTTCCATTAACTGTTTCACAGTCAACATCTGGAACGTTTTGCGTACAATGTGAAGATTCAAACCACAGAGATCCAGGATGGGCCTGAATTCGCCTGTTTTCTTGGGCACCAGAAAATACAGAGAATAATGCCCCCTCTCTCTCTCCCGTGTGCGCACAACAGACACCACCTGTTTTCGCACTAAAGTCTGAACCTCTGTTGAGAGAAAACCTATCTCCCTTTGGGATGATAGCTTTGCCTCTTTTATGCCTGTAAACGGGGGAGGGGTGCTGGAAAACTGGAGTGAGTAACCCTGTTTCAGCGTCCTGTCCATCCACTCCGTTAGCATGCATCTGTGTTTCCACTTCCCGTAGCACTGTGTCAGGGGATGTGCCATTAATTGTGGGGCCCCAGCAATAAAGCTGTGATATTCCCTGATGACCCGTCCCGCCGCAAAATCTCCCGTGAAGGGAGCATTTGCCCATGGGGGGTCGACACGGAAAGGGCCGACTCTCTACTGAGGTCTTTGAACACAGCATGGCACATTCCCTCGGGAGCGTGCGCTCCGCCAAGATGTTTTCACCCGAACAGTGAAAAACAACAAGTGGAGCCTGCTTTACTGAGGTCTTTGAACGCAGCATGGCGCACTCCCTCGGGAGTGTGCGCTCCGCCATGATGTTTCCACCAAAACGGTGAAAAACATCATGTGGAGTCCTCACACTTGGCTTTAATTGTTTCCTAACCCTGTTACGCCTGCCATAATGCCCCTGTAACCGCATAGTGCGGTTTTCACTCTCACCCGCGCATGCGCACTAGCTGCCTCCTTTTCTGGAGAAACAACCTGGGCAGCGAGTGGGGAAACTGTACTGAAAACATTATGTGGCTGTGTGGAAAGCAGAGACACTCAAACTGGAATACATTTTATCACTGTAAAGGACGATTTAACCACAAAAGGATCATAGAGGGAGAAGGCAGGATTTGCCCTCGCGTCCTGGCCGGAGAATTCCCCTCTCCCGCCGCCAGTCAACTCCTGGAGGATGGAGCTCCCCACCCGGTACCCCTGCGCTGCGGTGGCACCGGAGTGCGGACCGGAGGAGGAGCCCGACGGATTCTGTTGGCTCCGACCCAACACCTCGGGACGGACCGCGGAGGCAGAGGGCGCTCTCGGGACTCTCAACCGACGCCTCTCTCTCTCCGTCTTACCACTGCCGGACGCACTCCCCCTTGCGGGGGGGCCTGAGGGTGAGTCAGTGGCAACATGCGGCTGAGCTGAGCCTTCTCCACTTCCAGGCGGTTGAAGCGCTGAATGACCGA